TTTAAATAAAGTATTTGACAACCTCCCCCCACAAAACAAAAAAGAAAGTGGAGGGATGGTTGTTATCCCACAGTCAAAAATTCTGACCCAGAACTGTTCCTGTCTAAAAGAACTACAGGTAGAAAAATGGAGAAGAAACTGAGAGAAAGGTGGCCCAGTGACCGGCCCACATTGGGATCGATCTGAAGGGGAGGCCCCAAGGCCTGGCACAATTACTGATGCTATGGTGTGCTTACAGACAGGAGTCTAGCATGACTGCCCTCTGAAAAGGCCCAACAAGCAGCTGACTGAGTCAGAAGCAGACACTGATGACATCCTCTTGGAGACAGAGGAGTAGGAATGGCATAAGGAACTGTGGGAGGGGGATTTGGAGGTGGGCAAGGCTGGACTGTAAAATAAAAGTAATAAAAGTAAAATAAAGAAGAATGAGAGAGAAGAAAGGAAGGATGGATGAAAGGAGAGGAAGGAAGGAGAGAAGGAAGGAAGGAAGGAAGGAAGGAAGGAAGGAAGGAAGGAAGGAAGGAAGAGGAAACAAAACTAGTGTCTTCCCAATTTCTTCTACTATATGGTATTTTATTCCGTGTTATTTTTGTAGGTGAAGTACAAGAAAGATGTTCAAACCATGCACGAGCCAGTTTCAGATCTCCCAAATTTGTTGTTTTTAGACCATGCTCTGAAAGCCAGCAAAATGCTCAGTGGAGTAAGTGGGTTGTCTGGTGGCCATTGTAGAGTAGACGTGTGGATCCCTGGGATGCAGTGTTTCCATTTGCTCCTGGTCTTACCTGCTTCATTAGATGAACCTGTGTGCTGTGTCCCCCATCAACTAACACACTGAAAATGGCCACCTGCTTGTGCAAGTCCCATGGCAGCCATTGTCTCTTTATAAACGAGTTCCTTTACTTAACTTCCTTCACCCGTTTCATACATGTATGGAATATATTTTAGGCCATTCACTCCATATTACCCTGTCTTATCCCCTCTTCTCCTGCTCCAACTCCTTTTTCTTGGCAACAGGTACCCCTCCTACTTTCATGTCTGTGTGTGTTTGACACACTGAGTTTAGTGAGGGTTGCCTGCAAGCACGTGGGTTGGAGGTAATTTGCTGGAGCATGTTGGACAGAGCTATATTCCTCTGAAGAAAGCGATACCCAATGTGGGTTCTCCCAGCTCCTCGATTGTCATGAGCACAAGCACACTTGTTGGTACTGCTATAAGCAAGCATCCGTTCTGTCTTCTTTCTTCCCATTTCTTCATTTGTATCAGAATGAAGCCACTTGATGTTCATGTCTTGTAGACAGGGATCTTCTTTTATGAGAGCCATGCCAGCATATCACATATGTTACGACTTCAGTTGCAAACGTTCTTGTTTATATGGAGTATATATAAACACATATAAAAATATAGTGTTTAAACTATTTTCTCTTACAAGAAATCTTGAAGATGCTTATATTTCATGGCCACTATGAATTTAGTCTTGAAGATCCATTCTACGTTATCTGTCAAGTCAACAAGGAGGGCTGTTGGTAATATTTGTGTTTACTATTCAGATGGTACATCTAAATGCTGACCTCACTAGCTCTTACAACTGATAACTCCTGGTCACTGCTGGCTCCACTTTGTAAATATCCAGATGACACATGATAATGATTGATTCTGACTTGACCTCAAGTTATTTCCACGCCCATTCTAATAATAAATACCCATTCACTTGAAAGCATCTTAACTTACAGAATACATCTTGATCAGATGAAGAAGTTCTCGTTCTGTAAGGTATGGGAGAAAGTGAAGGTAGTCTTTTAGGTAGCTGAGCCCACCGTGCTCAATATAAAGCCACTCCAGGACTAGATCCCAAACCTTCGTCTGAAGGGAGCTGCATTTATTTGTATGTCCACTCTCTTTTGCACGTCTCCACCACCAGCTTTCCCAAGGTGCACACTGCACATAAGAGGTCCACACTTGCAGAAATTAGTTTCTAATTTATTTAAAAATTGTTGGTATTTGGGTCAAAAGCAGTATATTGTTGTTCCTGGTGTCAGAGATATGTTGACAGGCTTAGAATTAGCTTTGGTGTCAGGACCCTTGGATTACATTGTCCTGCTTTCTCCAAGTTCACCCTCCACCGATGTACACATCCCCACCACCTTTATATTTCGGTTCTGGTTTCATGCTTCTGTCAGTGACACACACACTCATCTCTCCATCCTCTGCACCCTCTGCTTTCTTCATTCTCCAGTGTCCAGCTTTTGTCCTGTGGCGGTGCTTGCCTGGTACTGTCCCCCACCCACGCTCAGGCTGACTCTTCTAGGAACATGAGGATTGTGTGTAAATGAGCGAGAATGTTTACCTCTCACCAGCAACATTTCTTTTCAAAATGTCGACGTTTGTTTTGCTGTAGAGAAAATGAACCAAAATTTAGTGTACACAGTCTTTGTCATCTCTCCAACAGAAAGCCTGAGGAAGTCACGTTGCCAATTTTGTTCATTATTCACAGAGCTTTGGTCTCCCAACTGTCTCAGTCTGGATCACAGAAATGATTATATCTCTCAGTGGGCCATAGAGTTTGACTTTCTCTGAATCATTTACATATTAAAATTCTATGATGTTATATATTTTTCAAATTTTTTATAAGCTAGAATAGCCTTTTAAATATTTGTATAAAATGAATAGAAATTTTCTTGATGTATAAAGGTGGCTGGGTTTTATTAAAACATTGAAGAAGAAATTTCAAGTTAGATATTTTGCCAAAGTTCAGAGCTGGTTTGCTATAAATGCCAAACCATCTCTTTTATTAACGATCTCTAGATGTCTATAGGTCTGTATCAAAATTTTTGCATTTTAACGTGTCATGTGTAGAGCAGAATGAGAAATTTAAAAGCCTGTCCAGAATCATGAATTCAGTGTTTGAAGAAACACTTTACTGTGAAAATGGAGTTTTCAATTTCCTTATAACTTTATATAAATTTAAACACTTTATACTATGTTATTCTACATAACGTCCACTAGGAGGCAACAGAGACTATTCAATACAGAAAAAAAGCCCCTGCATTAGAAGTTTCATTTGCTGATTGGGATTCAAAGGATTTGGTTTTAGCCTGGTTTTAGTATATATCCATTATTGTGAGTATAATTCCCTAGACTTTATTAGTTATGGACTTTGACTCCAAAGTAGAATATGTTCTGCCTTAATGCATTCAAACTATAGTTGTTTAATAAGTAGTTATAAAAAAAATCTAAACAAAGTAGAAACTTTTTTTTTTATCTTATTTCAGGTTTCAGCTTTGCCTTTGGTTTAAATTAGATTTTATTTAGGCTTAACTTAAAATTCATAGATGGACCCAAGATGTGACGTATGAACTTTATTAAGACTTTCCCGTGGTACTGTACCAAGTCACTTCATTCTGGTTAGAATCAGTGACACACGTCCTTGCTCCCCAAGTGATGGGGAACACGTCAGGCTCCCTCTAGAACTTTGTCCCTGTGAAGCAACAGCTCTGTGGCAGGTCGCAGGACACCGACACCTTCTGTCTTTCTGTTCCTGATGCTCAGTGGTCCTCCCCCTCCCCCTTCCCTTCACAGAGCATCTCCTAGGATCACTTTTTACTGCCACTTCTCCGAAAGCTGCATGCATTCCTCTTCACTGTACACAAAACCATTTTTCCTGGAGCCCATGGGTGATTGATTTTTACCTTTGTAGGTCCTAGCAGCCTTGGATCTCAGGGAGCTATTGTTTGCTTGTACAAGTTTTTTCCAAGTAGGACTAATTCCTAAGTGTCTGATCTCTAGTGCTGAAAGTCTTGTTCTGCTGCTGCTGGTCTAAAGTAAAATGCCATTGATACTCATTCTGGTCTCTTCCAAGTTTACCTTCTCACATATGTCATAATAGCAGAGAGCCTACACCAACATCTTCAACTTAAAAACCCAATAAGTTGGGGCTGGAGAGGTGGCCCAGTGACTAAGATCACTGGCTACTCTTCCAGAGATTCTGAGTTCAATTCCCAGCAACCACATGGTGGCTCCCAACCATCTGTAATGGGATCTGATGCCCTCTTCTGGCCTGCAGGTGTACATGCAGCTAGAGCACTCAAATCTTTTTTATTTATTTATTTATTTACTTATTTATTTATTTATTTATTTGAAACTCCAGATTTTTTTTATTATTATGAACCTAAATGATATATGTTGGTTTTTAAAAAAATAGTTTATTTTTTCTCAAATCGTAATTCATTCACACAGGGGTTATAAACACAGAAAGGCAGGATGTGGGGAAGGGAATGACACTGGAGTGTGGGGAGCACTCAAATCTTAAAAAAAAAATCTAATGAATTGTACCCATTTGCTTCAGGTCCTTTTCTCGGTGCTTCCCATCCTTTCCTTGGAATTTAGAGAATTAGCTCAATCATCTTTCATCTTCTCTTTGTCCTCATCACTTCCATCCTCACTCATGGCCCAGCTTCTCTCTACAGCCACCGTCCTGGAGTCTACTCCCCTCACTCTCTTTGTTTCTATCTCTTCTTCTGGACACATTGTACGCAGTTCTGTTCTGTGATAAGAAACAGTGTCTATGTGTCACCCCACCTTGTCCACTCACGATCCATGGGATCCCATCGAATGATTTTTCATTTGTGATTGTGCCTCATGTCACATTTATAGTTAAGCACGGAATGTTCCCTGGCTCTTCCTGTGGCCACTTACAGCAAGAGCGTCTGGCTCTGTCCGTTTTGCTCAGTTGTAGAACCTCCTCCGCGCCACCTGTTATAGAGACTGGCTCTTTAACAGCACCGTGGCTCCTTACCGCTGGCTTCTGGTTGTCTGCTTTACTAAGAGCTGTTGGGAGACCTGCTCAATCTGTGGCCCAGGGTTTCCTGGAACTCACAGTCATCCTCCTGTCTCAGCCTCCTATGTGCTGGGATAAGAGCTACCACACCGCAGTTACATTCCTAAGTCTCTTTTTACTCAGCAGTTGCTTTTATTCCTAACTTGTTTTCATGGTTTTTTTTAAGTGGGAATATAAAAAGAATTTTGAAGAAAACAAAGGATTGTATCACTTTGACGCGGAAGCCCCTGAACATCTGCACCATAAAGGCAACGCCACCCTCCAGAGTCAGGTGAGCTCTCTGAGCTGTCCTCACCCCACGGACACACATCACCATCTGGTTGTCCACTGCGAAGTGCCATCCATGTTCTTTGAAGAATGGAGCCCAAGAACATTAATGTTGTTTCAGAAAAAAATATTATCTCAGAGCCTTTTTTTTTTATCTTTTGGGTCAGCTGGAACCATGTTTCGACATATAAAAGTTTCATAAAGATAAGTTCCTTATATAATTAAAAAGTTTAGATCTAGGAACTAATTAAATGGTGATCAAATCTCATGATGATTTAAAATTTTAGAGTATGCTGATTTGACATTTTTGAGCTACAAAATTAATTTTCTGGGTGTAAGGCTTATTATAATTTCTGCAGTTAATTATAAGTGTTATTGGAAAGGGAAAGCATCCTCACTAATGCATTTTAAATTAATGTTTCTTCTAACTGTGAAACCCTATGTGCTCTGTAAAATAACTTAATTTCTTTTCTTCCTAGCACATTGTAAAGTCAATTTTTAAAAATTTTAAGTTATCATTTCAAGTTTAAATAGTTGCTAAAGATGGCATTTCTAGCATCTATTAAGGTAAACATTTACATGATTCTTTAAAATGTACTCTGTGGAACATAAAATCCGTAATGATTTGAAAATAAATTACTCCCTGTAACAGTTTTCTTTCCTGTTGCTGTGATAAAGTACCTCAATATAAGTAACTCAAGGAACAAAGTGTTCATTGGGTTCCCAGGTTATACTCTATCACTGTAGGGAAGCCTAGATGGTAGGAACTTGAAGCATCTTGTTATACGAGTGCATCCATAGTGAGGAACCCACAGCAATGGATTAATGTACAGATTGTTGTGCCCAACTCACTTTCCCCCTTTTCCCACAGTCTAGGACAAAAAAAAAAACCATAAGGAATGATGCTATCTACTTTTAGGCTGTCGCTTCACACATCAATGAACATAAATGAACAATTCCCTACAGGCATGACCACAGGCTCACCTGATCTAGAACCTCACTGAGAATGTTTCCCGGGGAGACAAGAGTTCAGTTCAACACCCTCCTCCCAATGTTAGGAAACAAGAGTTTTGTTTTTAAATTCTCCCTCTCCCTCTCCCTCTCCCTCTCC